ATATATATATATATATTTATAGATAGTCAGCGAGGTAGGAAGGAACAGAGTGGCTCCTTTCTAGGAAGTTTAGTCCGTGAACACAAATAGAGGTTAACCCTGCACCATGTGTGGATCTTTGCTGCATATATGCGCTGCTTGTATGATTTTACCTGAAGATTCTGCTTCTGTGCTTCTGTTGGGGCCAGGACTACAGACTCAACGGTATGGTGAAGGGCTCTCGCGAGCTCTGCCTGGTGCATGACGGTGAGTGCCCCTGCGGCGAGAACGCTATTCAGTGCAGGGCCGGGCAGGACGTCGAGCTGAAACCCTAGACCCCAAACAATGCATAGTCGATCCTACACGCTAAACCCAGAGCTCTGAGACATTTTGCTTTCTTCAGTTTGCCCTATCATTCGGTGGGCTTCTGGGGTGTGAGGGATTTTTTGTCAAGGCTTTGCATGATCCCGGGCTGAGGTAAGGAAACTCATGTCGGAGACCTCTGAACAGGTGCAGTCGTGCGTGGACTTGTTTGAGGTTTCACATTCCCTATAAACCCCCGATAAAACTTTACGTATAAATAACCTCGTAAAGCGCGAACCCCAAAAGCTACCCTTCAGGGGATCTATATGGGTTCCATTGTAGGGTCTCCTTCCAGGGTGCTACCGGGTATCTACTTGGAGGATCATGGGACTTAGTAGGTAAGGTTATAAGTACCCTAATTGGGGTTATAATTATAGTTACCTTGCTTATAACCCTAGTTACTAAGTCCCATGATCCTCCAAGTAAACCCCAAACAAGAACCCTAAACCCTAAACCCTAAACCCTAAACCCTAAACCCTAAACCCTATATCTGTAGTAGTTTGCCTTTAAAGGGGGGGTGTGTGATTCGGAGAAGCCTTCGGCCCCAAACCCCCCGCAGCTGCTGAACTTCTTCAGCTCAGCTGCCCTAAACCCTAAACCTTAAGCCCCAAACTGCAGAATTCGGTTTAGGGTTTAGGGTTTAGGGTTTAGGGTTTAGGGCTACTTTTTACTCCGAAAGCAAACTTTGAAGCTGCTGGGTTTCTGACCTCGGTTGGTGCAAGGAGACATACTGCCTTCCACGGTGGGATGCCGAGTCACAGAGCATCTCGGCAGCTCTCCAACCCTAAACCCTAAACCCTAAACTCTAAACCCTAAACCCTAAACCCTAAACCCTAAACCCTAAACCCTAAACCCTAAACCCTAAACCGTCCGAGTCACAGAGCATCTCGGCAGCTCTCCGCCTAGGATCCTGCGTCCTGAATCGGATCGAGGGCCCTACGCCCTAAGCCGGGAACGTTTTTGGTTTCTGTCTTCGAATAGTAGGACAAATGGTTTAGGGTTTAGGGTTTAGGGTTTAGGGTTTAGGGTTTAGGGTTTAGGGTTTAGGGGTTTTTCAGGGCTTGCTGGGCAACCTAAACCCCAAAGCCTAAACCCTAAACCTGGAACCCGCTCTCTGGCAGGGCTGTCCGAATGTCCCCTGGAGTGCGGGGACGACGAGCAAAGGTGCTGCGTGCCAAGCGACCTGGATCTGTCGGTTTCAGGGGTCTGAGGGTTTATGGCTGAGGGTTTGGTTGCTGTGGGCTTTTTAGGGCCCTTCAAAACCCGAGTGAACCCCAATTCCGAAAACCCTATGCCGCCAGCTCGACCCTGCAGAAACCCCTCCCTTACACCCCAAACTCTACACCCGAATCTTAAAAATAACCGCAGCCCCGAGCAAAATTTAGCCACAGACTTCGGGCTCAACGAAGCCCTCAGCGGTTTTCGAGCCTTCCTTCAGCCCCGAGCATGAACAGCCCCGAAGCACCCAAAACCCGAAACTCTTCAACTTCCCAAGAGAGCCCCATACCCCTTAAATAAGGAATAGACCTTACATTATAGGGGCCTTAATAAGAAGATTTACGGTATATTCCTTAATTAAGGGGTCCCTTAACCTTTCTGGGGATGAGCTCCTAGAAACCCCAAACCCCGAAAGCTGGCAAGTCCTTGCCAGTCTAGGGTTTAGGGTTTGGGGGGTTCAGGGGTTTTTAGGGTTTTTAGGGGTTTAGGGGTTCAGGGTTTTTAGGGGGTTTCGGGTCGAGGGTTTAGGGGGGTTTAGGGGTTTTGGGGTTTAGGGTTCAGGGGTTTAGGGTTTAGGGTTCCTCCATCTCAAACCCTAGATCCTGAACGAACGAGGCTTCGGCGCGACCGGCGAGTTTCTCAGGACCGAGGAGATCTGCGAACCTTGGCGTGAGACTGTTGGGCTTTTTCGGTTGTAACTGTATGGGGGTTTCCGAAAATACAGGGGGCGGATCTTATTTTTTGGGGAACTTATAATAAGGATCCTACTATTTAGGGTACTATATTAGGGTCCCCTACTTTCGGAAACCCAGTATAGTTTCTAGTGTTGCTCTCGGTCTTATGGTCTGTCTACTTGCAGGACCACGGGACTTAGTAACGAAGGTTACAAAGAAGGTAACTATAGTTATCACCCAATTAGGGTGCTGGAAACCTAAGTCCCACGATCCTCCTAGCAGGCTTCAGTTTGGGGTTTGCCCTAAGCCCTAAGCCCTAAACCCTAAACCCTAAACCCTTTTGAGGTTCACATTCAGTTTAGGGCTCAGCAGCTGGTGCGGCATTGCTCCCGCAGCTTCAAGCTTTGAGGCCTACGGGTTTTAGGGGTTTAGGGGTTTTAAGGGGTTTAGGGTTGGTTCATGATTCAGAGGTTCGGTATGGGTTTTGAGGTCGTGTTGAGGCTTTTCCTTGGGTTTAAAGTCTATGGTCCTACGGTTGACGGACAAAATCCTGCATGACCTCATATACCTAAACTATGGGTTTTCTGGTACTTTACTATATTGGGGTCATGCAGAATTTTGTCCATCGCCTCATCTCTGAACCCTAAACCCTAAACCCTAAACCCTAAACCCTAAAC